CAAGTAGAGGCTCATAGTGTCAGACAAGCTCAGAGACACGTTTCCGAAACTATGCCCTACCGGTAGGTCAGAAATGCCTATGGCTTTCTCAACAATTTTGCTCGCGCGCTGAATGAACTCTTCAAAATCTCGCTGTTTGCAAATATTCTCTTTCTCTTCTTCGGTGAGACTGACGACGTCGTTTCGAGCAGGAGTGCTACCATCGTAGTTTTCCTGATTAGCGGCCTGAATATCACCACAGACGATATTCAAGAACGATGAACTTTCCGATTATTTGCGCCCAAACTAACCCTCGCAGCTGCTCTCATCTTGTCCAGTGCGCTCGAACCCCGCCTCGGGAATATCGGGTTACGGGCAGAAGATCGTCGACCCCGCGACCACGATTTCACTGGAGGCGATTCACGCTGGACGACACATTCCAACTCAGCCGCTGGGATCTCTAAAATGAGGAACCAGTGGCGATCACTCCGCGCCACTATGGGTGCCACCTTGCTCAGTATTATCGCGTAAACGTTCGCACTGCGTGGCCTTCTCATAGCTATCCCCCATCCCAATACTCTTCTGAGCCGATAGGCCCTCCTCTGGAGTTGCCGTACCCTTTCCCGAATCGATGCGAACCACCGATTGTGAAGTTACTAATGGGACCGATCGAGTCAACCATACTTGAACCGAATGCTCACCCGTTTCCAACTTAGGTTTGCGAAATAGGAGCGCTTTAACCCTAGCCGTTCCATCCTCAGTTGTCGTTGTACCTTGCTACATCAGATGCCCGTTACATGGCATTGAGCGGTTGTTATCACTTTCCTTCTCCGTAGGGAGATCGAGATTTTCGAGATTGGCGAGCTGCTCATCAATGGTTAACGTCTCTTTCAGAATCTGAACCCGGAAGTGCGGACGGGGAGGACAATCAGGACTACCTCTTGGATCTGTCGATTGATGTTGTTCGCAGAGGCGTTTTCACTTTCTGAAAGAGTCTTTGACCTGAGTTGGAAGACCCTCATCCTCAATGATACATCTGTGGTCACCCACCCCATCCGGCTGGCCCTGAACTTCCTCAGTTCCTCGACTCTCGTCCGTAAAGTCTCGACCGTTCTCCAATCTATACTAGCAGCGTTCTTTGAAGTTAATTTATCCATCCTGAGTTTGATTGGTCACTTCGAAGAACTCTCGCAGTATCGTCCCACTCAACCAGATGATCATAAGTTACAACGCAAGAATGGCAGTAGAAAGAACAGGCCGAACTGGGTCCACTCTGAACAATTAGAGGTTCGCTTGCATCTTCTGCAACACCTGTATCACAAATTCACACCCGTAGCGCCCAGAGCTTTCACATCCCTCAGTACTTGCTTGGCTTCCTCAGGAGTAATCATCTCCTTTGCACTAGCAGGGAACTTGATGCCCAGCGTGTCATTAGTGTAGCGAGGGATCACATGGACATGAACATGAGGAACCTAAATTTCCACCAACCCTGAAGACACTGTAGAATCCCATATCGGAACTCACCTCCTGCCCAGCGCATTTCTCATTGTTCTGACAGATGTTGAGACCGTCAGCACCAGTAGCTGAGAACAATCATTCGAGACCAAGCTCCTCCTCACCGATTCCCCATTACCCAGTTTCACTGCTCTCGCGAGTTTGGGAAGATCGGCAAGGAAAGCCGCAGCAACCTCAGAGGGCATTGCGTCCATCGTAGCATATCTACGATATAGACACTCCCCGGAGAATGAGTTGAGCGCACAGTACCCCTCCACCTTCGGCAGTAGCAAAGCGTGCCCCTCAGTCACGGGGAACGCATCCAGTATTGCGAGTGAATGCTCGGTCTCAAAAATCTTATGACACGGTATCTGGAGTAACCGAGACGGTGTTAGAGGATCGAGACAGAGGACAGACGACGCACTACCTCTCCTCGGATAATCTTGGCGAAAATGTTGTTGTGGTCGTACGCGGCTCCCGACATCTTTACGAAGAATCAATTGGAAATAACTGAGAATACTCAGGCAAAGGTTACACGAGTTGAGGAAGCGGGGGAGGAGCAACATACCATAAGTAGTATAGTGACACACAATTCCACGAGCACTACATGTACGATGCGGGACTCGGGCGGACTAGCCGTTCAGCCCATCCTTATTGTGCAACTTTTGTAGTGAGTACTGCGCTATGAGGTGCGCTGCTATCAATGTGAGTTCCGCGATCCTGAGGTGTAGCCTTGCACGAAGAGCGCATTATAGACGTCAGCTCTGCTCAGAGTGAGGTAGACGAGAGTGAGCTAACCGCGGTTGGCAACGCCTGATTCCTAAGCGAGGATTCCTCACTTGAAGAGATTGAGTTTACATCTATCTACGAACACAACATCACACAGTCGTCAATCTCAATATTTCTAGTAACTAGGGCTTCTCGGATAAGAGACGGAGCTCGCTTGGGATTGGAGTGTCGTGCTGCATCATCTAGGTCGCAGGTTCGATTCCCGATCACGTCATTTCCCTGACGAAAGAATTTTTTACATGTAGATCTATCATACCATGTTCAAACTCAGTTAGAATGAGTCAGGTTCTGCATTCCTTGGCTAAGCCCGGACTAAAGGCTATACAACGGTGTATGACTTTTCAACATAACTTTTCTGAATAATTGTGTACGCACGTACATACGCATGCACGGAGTGTTTGTGAAGTGAGAGACCTCCGTTAGCTTCGCTCGTTCCGTAACTATCTAAATCTACTACGTGCACTAACCACAATAGACACCCATGAGATGCAATACGAACCGGGAATTCGATACCGTTGAATACGTGAGGCGAAGCCAATCATCTTACAAACTCATCTAGGCGAGTCGTCTTCGACCATCGCAGAGGAGGGCATACTCTAAAATATTCTGTACGACCAGATGTATAAGACAGGTCATGATTACTGTCTATACACACGCATGGCAACGCGTCATTGACGCATTGTCAGACAAATCTTTCGCGTTCCGTGGCACATCGAACACACCTACTATCAAGACAAGCAGCTATCCAGAGTTCACCGATTGTCTAGACTTCCCTTAGCTCCTGCATCCAATTTAGCAATCAAATGTCCTCAACTTCGAAATTCAAACGACAGCTGCTATATGCGTTGGCTTTATTTCTTCTCCCGACAGCAGTGGCCGGCGTCAACCGTCGCTCAACTTTCACGGGATTCGTCCTGGCATACCTTGTCTATCTGTTCGACGGAGCGGAGTACGAGCCATGGAGCAGGTGAGGAGGAGGTTGGGGCGGCTCTGAGTTCTCGACAATGCTCCTTGCAGGTTTTGGCCTGCATTCTACCAGCTTGTGGGATGGCTCCATGCGCGGAACTTGAAGAGCTTTGCCTCCAATGTGGAGACTGTATTTGTGGACAAGCGAGCTCTAGTCCGGCACCCGAAAGTCATTTACTCTTTGCATCCTCATGGCGTGATGTCTATGTGCCATCCTCAAGCATTCTATAGCATTCCGCACGACACATGCAAGTTAGCCGCGTCAATTTGCTTCAAGGTTCCTCTCATGAGAGAGACGTACCTCTGGTGTGGCATGATCGATGCGGGTCGCCCTACTTGCATGACAGCTCTGGAGCAAGGATACAGTCTCACCATTGTTGTTGGAGGAACTCGAGAGCAACTAATTCCTTATTCTCCCACTCATGACACAATTTTATGCAAGAACAGAAAGGGCTTCATCAAGCTGGCTCGAGATGCTGGTCGGATACCCATTGTTCCCTGCTACTCTTTCGGGGAGTCCATCGCCTACGGTAAGTGCAAGTCGCATTAGCCCATAAACTAACAGGAAGAGTTCTTTCGTCGGTCAGAAACGAGCGATTTTCTCCTGTCATTCCGTCGTTGGCTGCAACGCCGATTCGGGGTTGGCTGGGCTGTAGCGAAAACGTGGAACCCGAGACGACTCAAGGACTTCGTTCTCGTTGTAGGATCCCCTATCACATGGGAAGAGCAAGATACTGTTGAAACCATTCACGCCAAGTAAGTATTACACATTTCGCCTTTCTCTGTTGTTGAAGAAACGTATCAGATATGTTGCTGCGGTGAGAGATTTGTTTTACGAGCATCGCGCTAACTATGCCGAGTATACCAACCGCGAGCTTCTCATCGAATGATTTTTAACTATCATGCGAATGCCTCGTAGTCGACAATTCTGCGTAACTTTCCACCGTTCGTTTAGAGCAATGGCTTTGGTTGTCTCAGGGTATAGTGTAAATAATCTCTTCACCGCCAAAGCAAGTGGTTTAATCACATTGACAGTCGTAGTTGGTCATCAAGCAGGGACGACCTTCCCTTGTAGTTTCAGTGTTGTAGTCGAGCGAGGCCACTCGGCCTCTTACTTCCATTGTGTTCCTCGAATTACTATGCTAGAGTGCCTTTCGAAGACTCATAATATTTAGTGTTGTCGACTTTATCGTGGACTCTATCGTGCACCGTCTGAGACGGTCCGTCTCAGCTCTCAATTACTCTACCGAACAAAACATGTACGAGCGTGGAACAACAATACTAGACATCGCATCTCATGAAGACGGCCTTCATTCGGCGGCCGCACCATACGAGTCAGTAAGAACCGGCGGACGCTCGTCGAACTCGAATCCGTCCCATTCGTTAGACAATTTGTCAGAGCCGCGCGGGTCCTTTCGAAAAAGCCAAAACTTTTCTGAAGCAATTATCAGTCATTACAACAGATGTCGCGCCAACGGATCCTACCTAAAGCTGCTCTTATTTTCGTTGTGCCGTAGACGAGCGTAGCTCCAGGCGCGGTCAGAAAACGCCCAATGGCGACCGAGAGCCCCTCATCCCGAGCGACTACTCCCAATATCACTGCTGTCACCAGGATAAACGTGAGGACGAGTGTACTTAACGGTGAAGGACGGCTCATGGTGGGCACCGCCATCGATCTGTGGACTGACAGCAAACCACATCTCAAACGATGCGATGTTTCCCAACTGACCTCGCGGCAGGACAGAGTTCTGCACACTCTTCATTACAGTGGCCAGCTAGGAGGAGAAATAACGCCAAAAGTTCCGGACATTGCATCATTACCCCTTTGCTATTCCTAGCCATTTCGATGATGACTCTTGTTGCTCGAACGGACTCGCGGCATAACGATCCGATGTCTTTGCCCTTATCAACTTGCTCGTTCATGCATGCTAGTACTCCCCTAATAAAGGGAATCAGTATGTATGTACCCCTACCAGATCCATACCGTTCCATGGTGTCCTCTACCGCACAATACTTCGATATAGGTTCTGCACATACAAAAGGCAGGGATTTCTCCACTGACTTTACACAAGCTTTCGAAACTTGTAGCGCCTTCAGGCCTAGGCAGTGCAGCCTAAGCAACTCGTGTCATCAAGCGCCGAATTGCCACTTTAACCTCGATTTTTGCATCCCTATTGTGATATCACTCTTCCCCACACTCGGATCTTTCGGGCACAGGCGAGCTACGTCTTTCTCACAAGGGTCGTCGAGAGGCCCACCGTTCTTCATAATGAACTCCTTCATGAAATGCGGCTCGCCACTACCAATTGCCTGAGTTTACAGTTGTGCCGACTACAATATAACTGCAGGCTACTGCGCCGGCAGACTCCTAATCTGCCGGCGAATAAGTCTACGCTATGCTAAACGCTCAGCGCTCTCAGCACAATGGTGGCCAAGCGCAAGCTGATCAAGATCTCTATGGTGTTCGAGAGAGACATCCACACCATACTTCGTCAGAGTTTAAAAAAAGAGAGTAAAGCTGGTGATGGTGATACTCATATCGAAAACTCATATAGGAAACATTCTTTGCTCACCGATGAGTCACCGCCGTGTCCAAGGTCATCAAGTATATGACTCAGTAACGAGTCCATCATCCCGTCACCCGGCCCCATCGAGCCATGCATGGGGAATAATTTATTGATGTCATCCAGAGGAATGGGCGGGCCCTCGATGGGCGATCGTTCCCCACTGCCTAGGATATCACCAAGGGGTATGAACTGAAAGAAGACCAGGCTAGTTCTGAGGCAAGCCAACCAAGCCCTGGCAAGCATCTACTACTCTCACGTGAACTCCTCTTCCTGCCGCTCGTCCCAACAATACCAGAGGGAGCAGTGTTGAAGCGGTTGAACTCGGTGGAAGACGCATTGAGAGCAAAACCGGGCGTGTACGAATTTATACAACTATGAATGAATGCATATATACTTCTGTTCAGACCTTGATACTTCCGGCGAATCGACAATGATAATCGTGCCGTCCGCGTTATTGTTCAGAAAACACCCCCATAGTGCGCTCTTCCACAACACGAGAAATATCTGTCAATTCGAAGCCCGTTTGGTAGGAGTATCGATTCGGTGGTAGAGTGGGAATTCTATTCGACCTGCATCCGGATGCACCACTGCTTACAGTTGGCCCAACTTATTCCCAACTGAGTTGCGGAATCAAACTAGTTATCCGATAGTTGCGTTCATACTCAAACTTCGGCAATCATGTTCGAAAAAGAAGCTCGAACCAGAGATCGAACGACGCGGAAAATATCGCTCGCCACAAAATTATTCAAGTTGCTCAAGGCAAAATCACATTCTGGAGATGACCTTCCACAGCGCTTTGCGGTTCCAACGCGTGTAGTTTCCGGGGAATGCGATGGTCAGGTGCTTTCCATGCCTTATTATGCATCGTTGTTATCCTGGTAAGAGACCTATAGTATAGGTCCTATACTGGAATTGCTTTCTTAATGACAGTAAATTGATAGGGTTAGGTACCATACCTGTGGCCCACAGGCTCTGGGTAGATAGGATAACCATCCGTATGGGATGCACTTAGGGTGTGTCTGGCGCCGTTAGTCACAGTGACTATGAGTCCTTGTGGTGAGGATGAAACATTTCCTTAAGAGACGATTAGTTTTGAGGTAACAGACCTTTAACCTATGGTTCATGGCTTCATACGGCCTCCCAAATCTGACTCGAATGTCACAGAGTTGAAACTATTACTGTAACATCTATCACTCTGTCAGAGTAACTCTGAAGTTCAGAGTCTGAACGCGTAGTAGACTTAGAGTCAGAAGCTCTTTGTGTCCACGTGGCGCCGCAGTGCATCAAACTTTGATGATCAAAGTGTGGTGCGAGAAGTTATACGTCCCGCACCATCCATAGATACTATCAGCGGACGGCGCTGATGCCTTTACGGAGGGGTTCAAAAAGGTATAGATAACGGGCTCGGGTGTACGCTCTCTTGCAATTCCAATGACTCATGAAAACTCAACACTCTCACAGGGTCGCTGTGATCGGCCAGATTGCTACCATGGGCATCCACCGAGGGAAAATCTTGCAGGAAAATTAAATCTCAGATACATGGTCCATACGGCGAGCAAGGATGCAACGAACCTACGTGTCAATACCAACTAATGGTAACTGACCCTGCCTCGTGAGGTCGATCCCGAGAAGTTGGACCGCTGGCAGGGGTCCCCCGGGCAAACGTGAGGGGAACTATCGTTATCGTTGGTGTTGAGACAGAGTCGAAGTGGTATTGTCAATTTGATCATGGTGAATGTAAGTTTGGAGCATTACTCTTAATGGCAGCATAAGCGTCATCGGAGAATTCTTCCGTTCTGGAGGTGATCTGCAGTGATTACACAAACAATCACCAGAATCGTTGAAGAGCGCGGGCTCGGCGTCAAGATATCTGCACCGTATGCTGTTCCATCAACTGTATGTCTAGCATCTGCGCCAGTACAGCACCGAAATCAGGGCGAAGATAGCCAGAGATGGGTTGAATCTGGAAGGGATTCCTTCAGACTAGCAGTCAGAAGCGTCCGAACTACTCCAAGTGAAGTTCACTCTCGCGCAGCTTGTATTCTGCTTGCCAGATGAAGGGTGACGCCCAACTATCCCAAGATGAAGCCGCAGTGCGGCTTCATGTGCGGCCGCCGCACATAGAGGGCATCTCAGAGGAAATGAAGTGATATTTGATGTTGAATTCCATCCGGAACTGGCGCCTATAGAAGGCTTCCATTAGAAGCTGGCAGGTTCAAGCTGCTCACTATTCAGCAGAGAAGACCTCGAAAGTCCCCGATACTTCTGAGTCATCGGAGGAATGACAGAGCGAAGGGAGAAAAGGATACTCGAGAACTTACCATCGAGCTGATTCGCAAACACCTCAAATCTCCACGGCGTGCAGTGCACACTGTGCTTCTGTCAGAGCTTTGCCTCCCTTTTTGTCGTACAACAATATGCCCAACGACAGCCCGACGAATCAGATGCCAAGCGAACAGCAGGGCCCTGACCGTCAACTCGATAGGCCGCGTCACGTTCAGTTGCCCGCACAAAGGGGGCCTACGCGGCGGTTATGGACCAGGTGGGAAGAGCATGAAGATGATTGTATCATCGCTGCTTATGTCCACTGGTTGAACCCGGCCAACCGAGTGGCAGGTGAGAAGCAAGAGGCTACGTTACACAGATACTTCAACGAGGCCTTACCCAACTCCGAAAGGACGGCGGAGCAGGTCAGTGTACGCCTGCGTCGAGTCCGACAACGCGAGGACTTTAACACGAAGGTCGAAATTTTACGACGACGTGCAGACCCCAATCCTGATGGTCGGGCAGACCTGCGGCGTGACTCTGAGGAGCATCCCGACGATCTTGAGCAACAAGAGCGGCTTAACCCAGTCCGAGATGCCCTCGCTGCGGTGGCAGAAGTGCTACGTGAGGAACGGCCTCACCAAGGTGTCCGAACTGGTGGTGCCAATGCTGCTCAAGTGCTCCAGCGGAGAGAGGCGGATGACCGTTTGTGCGAAAAGTTCAAGGTCGAGTATGAGAGATGGATCCAAGAGACTGATCGGCCTCTATTACGTGTGGAGAAGCGATATTATGATTCTTACCTGGTTGAAAGATCGTCGGTTCTCTTGGCTGAGATGCAGAGGGTGGTCCACGCCCCGGGTGTATCGGTTACAACTGTGAATGCGGCAGTGTATACAGCCGCGAAAGTCCTCATAGAGGAAGCGGAGTTGAGGGACAAGCGACCGCGAAAGGCTGCTGATGAGGAGCCGAGGATCAATGGAGGATTGTTGAGACTACTCCAAACCCGAATGCTTGCACTGAGATTCTCCTGTCAGGAGAATCACTGGTCCAGTGATTCTCCTGTCCGATAAAAAGCCAATCCAGTGACACTGGATGAGATGATCTCATTGAGATCGGAAAACTGAGAATTGGAAATCGGAAGCACAGACGTGCAGCGCCGGGCCTTCGGGTGTCCCCCAGCCTGTCACGCGGAGTCAAGTATCCCAGAAATCTTCGAGGCTGATCTTCTCTCTCCAGCGATGCCCCATAGTTGCTGAGCTATCGCTTGGGTCAATTAATATCCATTCTTCCAGGTTTTGGAAGCAGTGTGGATGCTGCAAATTTTTACCAGGACCATCACCTTGGTGGAAAACGTGGCCAAAAAAGTCTTGTTGAGAATTTGATCTCGACATATCTAAACAATATAATAGTGTCATGAGAGCCTATATACACAATTTAAGCTCTATTTCAGCTCTATTTAAGCTCTAGTTGAGAAGTTATGCCGGAGACATGAAACAGGCTCTTCATATTGCGCCTTCTATTACAGAAGGCACAATATGAAGTTCTATATCTCCTGCCAGTCGGTGGCGCCACACAGATCGGAATGAATATCTGGACTGAACTCGTCGAGAACGATCATCCTTGAAATGTGAGGAAAATGGTCATATCATCCTTATGATGGTCGCTGCATCCCGCATATCAATGAGCTACATCAATGCTACCGGTTCCACAGGCGCCTGTAATGTCCCTGTTACACAGAGACGTTGCAGGCGCCGCCTGCCAGGCGGGTCCCCGGTGGACGAGTTTGATGGCATCAAATTGATGAGTCCTTGGAGGCTCGTCCTTCAGAATCTGAAGTTCAGATCGTTGAGTTTCCTCATCATCATCGTCTGTCAACACTTCCGTTCTAACGTTGTTCCGTTGAGACTTCGGCTAGTGAGACGTTGAGTACCGAAAATTGTCTTCTATCGGCAGGTTCCCGACGGGCCGTCGGCGACGGAAACGGTTGCCGCAACATCCTGAAAGAGTAATCCAGAAGGCATAGCGACCGTCAGGCTGACGGCGTCAGCTCATCCAGGAAGATTCGGCAGACTTCTCTCGTCGCATGCGATTCGCATGATGCGAAGACACAGTACCGAGTATCGGTCATAGTGCAACACTATTAGTGTTAGATCTTTTGATGATCTCCCGAATCAAAAGAACGCAGAGCCACCCAGATAGTATAGAAACAAGTATACGATAACCTCGGTAGCTCAGAAAGGTAGAAGAGCCACAAGTAGAGCGACGGGACAAGGATCGCCGAGAGGCGAATGACGGCTTGAGAGACCACAAAACTCAGATACGAATAACTGAGGGAGGAATCTTCTGCCGTTTCACTGGCAACCGTTTCCTCACAACTCGGGCGAATCTTTCAAGTGAGCAGATATGCTGAATGGAAATGCAATAAGTTGAATATACTTGAATATATGAAGTTGAGAATAATCAATAATCTTAGTCGTCATCATCCGATTCCACATAGCCTATGACTCATAGCACCAGTAGTACGAATCAGGATCCTATCAATGCCAATCCAGATAGCCCCCGAACGAATACCGCGACCTCAACTATTCCTCAACCACCAATAATTGTTTGTCTACCTCATACGCCGCCTGTAGCTCTGTCATCGATGGATTGTGTTGACTGATTTTGGTGATGGGAGGCCAAAGCCCAACACCCCAAAAAAGTTGCTATACCACCTTGAACCCAAACCGCACACTCAACTTGACCTTGGTCTTACAAACCACCATGAACAGAACAGGAGAGTTCTCCCATCAGTTGAATATACCGAAGCAAACTAATCAAACTAAGGAACAAAGATTGTTCGCAAGTGTATCCGGAAAAGGCCTACAGTTCTAGCAGGCAACACCACCTCACCTACCAGAGCCTCCTATCTCCTAGAAGTTCTAGGCTAGAACGATTCAGTGGATCGCTACCAAGTTGGTAGCGACAGACCCTTTCGTATAGCTCAGACGTATGATGTCGCCAATAAGCACCTCCTGCTCAATGAGGCAAAACCACACGGAGTATTGAGGAGCTCGACAGAGAAAAGAGTTTCCAGCGCTCCAGACGATGACCGCAAAAAGTCAATCACCGGAAATGTCATGTAATGACAGACACAGAAGAAATCGTCCCAGAGATAACAGCCAAGCCTCGATCCGGGCCGTGAAAACATGTGGTGAATCCATCTAAGTCTGCCCGATGCTACATCGAATAATACTTCCACCATACAATACCGCGCTGAAACCCACCCGAGGATAGCGACGGTGCTGTGGTTCCCCGCGATGCCCATACTTGGATCGACTGCCAATATGATTCGCTGACCGAGCAAAATGCACCCCTGCGATATATTGAGCTTTCCTCCATCAGCTGAGGAATCGACTTCAAACCAATGAAGATGATATTCTTCGGAGTCGGAAGCCAAGACATATATACGTGAACCTATCTTTTTCACACTTTTTATGTGCCTGGGGACCGATCCACCATCAGAATAGGGCAGTTCGATGCTGTAAATTACAGCCTGTAATAGTCATCGTCTTGGCTTTCGAGGGGAAGAATTGAAATCTTCAACTGTTTCTTCAGAACGCTGTATGCTATCACATAGATATCGGACTCGCTTGAGTCAGAGGTGAAGAATGACTCACCCACGTGTGCCAATACACCTGGCTTGAACGAGAAGCTCTTCTTGCATATAGGTGTCCCTAACCGATCCCATAGAGAGACATCAAAGCCTAGTGACGTGCAGTTGACGATGGCGAATCCTCTTTTGACGCTGACGAGACCCCAGTGCCTCTCAACGGAGTACCTCTCAACAAGCCGTTGCAAGGATGGGCTCGAGATCGAAGAATAAAAGTATTCACCAATGGTTCTACGCAGGTCACCAGGAATGTTCGAATGGTAACTTCCCACAAACTCAGCCAAATACCGCAGCCTCAGCAAGTTTTCCGTGGGGATCGATAAAAAAATCCCATCGATTCGCACATCCCTCGGCAGAAACATTGAGACACGGAGCAAACCCTATGATATCAATACCACCGTTCGAAAGGCACAACACGACAAGATTGTCCAGGTATGAGAATGACCTCGTCAGCCAGGAAAAGTGGTAGTGCTGAGATGATACTCACCTTGCACGCTTGCACAGCAACGCACAATGCGTGAGCCTAGTGTTGGGTGAGACCGACGGAAATACCCTGCGAAGTAAACTGCTACTCTCCCTGCCCAATCCCGCAATCCTCTTGTCAGTTCTAAGTGCACAGCAGACTGTACATGGATAGCAATATCTCCACATTCTCTTAGAGTATTGCTCTGTTCGTGCGCGACTCCAGCAGCTATAGTGGGATCGATCAAGTAGAAGCGTACACAGTTGCCTACATTGTTGGTAGTAGTCTAACTGAATCAGCGAGATCAGATCTCGCTTGACATAGTGCAACGTTACGCGTCTTCTACTCACTTCTATGACATCGCTCTTGCGTTTACTAGTCAAAGAGCAACTCGAGTTTCCGAACGCACCCGCAGGCAGTCCTCTCGAACTCGTACTGCCTCCCCCGTAAACCTTCCTGATGTTGCAGAAGTTGAGATCCAGCATTTAGCTGATTACAGGTGAATGCTCAATGCCCTATTGCGGCTCGCCAAGCACGGCTGAACCGGTACGACTCACAAACACTCGTCCTACATCACGGCTTCGGGAAGACTGTAGACGCTACGCTGATCTCGCACTCAGTACTACGGCTACTTCGACTGCTACTGCACTCGTTACTTAGACTCGAAAATATCACGACTCGGCACTAGCGCTAGGATCACAGCCTAAGGGAAGCATCCATTCTCGAACTGTACACAAGAAACTCTTTCAGATAGATACCGCTCTGATTGCATGTTCGGCGTATTCTTAGTGTCGCCTCAGAATGTCCTCATCAGGCCTCATCCAGTCCCGAACGAAGTAGTCATCGTAACCGTTATCGAAGTAATCATGGCGCATTAATGTGCCGTGCGGGTAGTTGTAGTTAGTGGCACTGAAGAAGACCTGACCAGTACGTAGTTGGCTCATCTCACTACTCATTAACGATTGCACCACAGGTCGAAGTTTACCATAGTTATAGCCAACCAAAGTCGCCAGTCGTATCGCAACGGAAAAAGGCAGCACGCGACTCACTCTGCCTGTGGGAGCAGCGGCCATCTCCTCCCCGTCGTAATTGGTGGGTTTCACTCGGAGCATATACCTGAGTACCACGGCAGCACAGGAGGATGACAGTCATAGTCAACAAAAACTAGCGGCAAGCTTCAAGAGAGCTCATGATGCGATGAAAGCTCATGGACAACCCTACTATCCTATCTGTCGGATTCGGCAGGCTCGTACTCCGTGGTACTACTTGTGTCGCTCTAGAGGAGGTGGACAAATCTTGTGAAACTGTACCCATGACGCAGGTCTACCCTCCAGCTCATTTTTGAAGATGAATTCGCTATGGGGATGATTGATCGGGTCGAGCCGAGGCAATCGATGGAATCTACCACAGAAGATACAACCAGAGCCGACGACCCAGGAATGCAGGAGATCAGGGGCTCAATCACTTCCTTATCCTGGAGAGCAATTCGTGGAAATTCAGTGGCAGTTGAGACGCAAGTTAGTGTTTGATAATATTTGAGCTGTATCAAACCGTAAGTACATGAGGATTAAGATTCGTCCAGGGAATATATATGATGTAAAACTGGGAATATACTCTGCTCGAGCACGAAGGCCCAGTAGAAAACCGAGAGGCTCATATTCTTGTTATTCTCATTCTCACGGGACGCCAGCAATATCCGGTTTCGTAGTTCGAAGTTCGTACATGTTCCAAAGAGCTTCCAACCCTGTTTGAGGCTCGGGCACTTTGTAGTAAGCGTCCCATAGTGCCTTGGAACAGCCTTGATGAAGTAACGTCAGCAAGAGCAATTACTTTTGGATGCGACGAGTGCGATGGCGTGAGATCGATCAGCTGTACGTGCAGCCTGGTGTACCTTGCACCAACGGAGTGCATGAACTCTGTCCATTGACTATATGATATAATCAGATGCAATTTCCTCCAAATGATCGCAAGGATCCGTACGCTCACACTTGCAGCTTATTACTGCTTCCGAACCAAGCTCGCGCTTGCAACTGTAGCGTAATTACCCAAGCCATTTTGAGTCCCGAGCAATCACAGTGGGGTGCATCCAGCCCTTGACCACCCATTGGTCATGGTCTCCTCGACAGACCCAGTGCTCCTCGAACCAGGGCAGGGATAAGTTAGGGCAGGATACGCCTTCCTGAGTGGACGCGGGTGTCTCCTGTCATTGCCAGCTATCACTCCGAGTGCTACTTCATATATCGGCCTGGAAATATGGACGCCATGCTTTCCACCGAGTGAAGGGGTGAAGGCTTCATGCAGAACCATTGCTTAGTATACGAGGCATGGGGAGCTCGGCGTCACCCACGAGTGATCTCGCCATCAGCGGAACGATCTCAGGGACACTTTGTCCACTTATTACGCGGACCTCATGACTGCTATTATCCTATGATTTACTCAGTAAACTGTCCGTCGAATCAATCCGTCTTTGGAAAATCATACCAAGAGGCGAGCGCTGTAACTGCGCAACTTCCATACGAAACGCTCCGCGACACTTCTTTAGGTAGGCATCCTCGACTCTAACTCGTTCCTCACTGATGCCCTATCAAGACGGCAGAACTCGCAACTACTGCAGCAGCCGCAACAGCAACAGGGTGTACCACCAAAGCGAACGCAGTAATACCGAGGAAGCGTATAAAAAGCCGCTGCGAATGGCTGTACGAGATCAGCAGAATCTCAATGACACACAAGTCATTGGTGGTGAGTTGATGGGCGGTACGCATAGTAGTGAGCTCATGCGGTGAACTCGCCTCAGTCTCGGAAAAGGCTGACAGGACGCCCACAGAGACCACCACGGCCGTGGTGGGTCGTCACGACTCTAACTGCAGTACATATCCGAGTGAACTCTCCGACTCTTCTGTCGATGGAGCACATGGGCGAAGGAGGGCTGCTGAGTCATCTGAAACGTGCCACGTAGGTCCAGGAACGGCGAGGGTCGACCGTGGTGAGCGCCGTCGTGTTGCTCAGTTGCAGGAACATCCATCCATCAGCGCGGCTTGTGCGAGAATAGAGCAACTCGAGGTAAATTGCCACTTGTCCAGATTCTTGAGATGCATGTTACTTCACACCGTATGTTCCCGCTTCTTAGGTCGATGTATCTCGGATGCAGAAATCAATCAACGGCAGTATGGAGGATGCAACCAGACCTGATGATCCCTTGGTGATCCTCCACGCGCAAAAGCGTTGATAGTTCTGATCGTTTTTCCCATTACTTTCAGCGTGCCGTAGTGGAAGACTTCAATGCGAGATTGGTGAATCATGGTAACCAGTTGCTCTCTTCGAGGTTTTTTTTCAGTCCAAATTTGAGAAGACTATGGTCGATGCACTCCCGAATGTAACAGCCACAGGTGACCATGCAGTACATGCTCCATGCATACCCGGTTCCTTGCTCTCAGTGATCAGCGAAGTAACCGAAGAATTGCAGGACTTCACTTACAAGCTGGCGCAGAATCAGATCGACCTGATGAGCGAAATGGTATGCGCTACAGCTCTGAACGCGAATAACGGTCCTTTCTCGCAGCTTCGACAAACGCTCGCTCAAGCAGTTGCAATCGTTTCCTCCAATGCACAGCAGCAATTGGTCAACGGTGGAGGGTTAGCCGTTCATAAGTGGGATAGATCTCCGCGTTGGATGCTCGATACTCAAGCACTGCCAGGCCGCCTCATGCTGACGGATTTGGTCCTATCATACCACCAAAGGGCCCACCGCCGGCTCCTCCACCACCCCCGATGAATTGTGCAGTTTCGGCTGCTACTTCGGTGAGAGTGCTTCATGTTACTTATATATGGCCATCTTCACTCATCTCTCATGTAGGCACCCAAGTTCCCAAGTATATGCCTTCCTCCTAGAGTCGGCTCAGTCTCGTCGCCCTCTGCCCCAAGAATGTGCGTCGAGAAATCGTTCTCAGGTCAGGGCATATAGGCATGTTCACTTCTACGCCGTATCGTGCAAATCGCTTTGTAGTTGGCGAATGTTATCGAGCTGCCATTGATCTGTCGAATATTGACCTTTCACTCTGCAGTTGATGGGCCGTCCATGGCGTGCAACTCTTCCGAAGCGCGAAGACTGGTCGGTATAATCAATGCTACAAGCCTGAAGTCAGCGCTTGTTAACAACAACCACAAGGATGTCGTTGCTAGTAGGGATTCACAATTTCTCATGTCTGGTTCAACCCCTCTCGTCAGGCACGAGTAACACGAGCGGGAATGGGCGATCTACGGTGGCTTGGAAGTACAATGGAGACGAACAAGCGTGTTGTGGTGGACTCACGCGTGGGCCCTCCGACTCTCCTGTTGGACATGCGTCCTGTTTCTACAGGCGAAGATATACGGGACTTTTTCAATTGTGGAATCGCGAGCTGCGCAACCGTTGAGTCTTCCAACATAGGTGAGCAGCCGTTGAAGGGTTCCGTGGTTGACCCTTGGTGATGTCAGTAATCGATTGCGACGTCCTTGCAGAAGCCGGAGTGAACTACTCCAGCCACGTTTTCGATATAAGTACGGCCGTTCGCCGTGCGAATGTTGCCTCTGATTGAGTCAATTTCAGTTTCGATTCTAGAAGCATTTATCATGGCTACAAAGACTGGCGAACCATTCGACGTGAACCAAGAGTGGAAGCGCGTCCTCCGAAACATCGCGGCCGGCATCCCGCGCTCCACTGGTCCGTGTCGTGGCCATGTCCGAAGTTGACTTGACACTTATACGTACTCATAGGACATGTAAATTATTTTGCATCGTCCTATTATTTTTGGTGGGTAGTGTCATTAGCACTCCTTGCACGACAGTAATTTGATAATCAATAGGTTTCTTTGGAATCGACTGACTTGCTTTCTGACGAGTTGATTGAATTCTCGTATCTGCTAGAGGGAAATTTTTTAAGCATTCAAAATGTTAATTATCTGCTCGCATGTCTACTTTCATCAAAACTTTTCGATGTGTTACTTCGATTATTTTACTATTGCTATTAGGAGCACTGCATATGAAATTTTTTAGTCCCAGATCAGATGCGCTGGTCAGGGCTAGTTCCATTCACAAACCGGGGTACACACAAGCTCGGCGACCAAAACAGAAGCAGTAAATCAAACATTCATCCCATGGAAGATTATCTTTTCGTGAAACACCTTATTCACGGAGAGGGCGAATCAAGCATTGGTTCATATTCGAAATGACAGGTCGTTACTCCAATTCCAGAAGTGCAACTCCCAAGTGTAACAGTACAAGTAAATAGTCACTACTGGAACAAAGAGTCATATATCCAAGGAAACGATGCTGTGATCTCTATCTCATTTCTGATGGTTAACAGTCGCCGCCAGAACTTCTTTGATTAGCTGTGGCAACTTGGATAAATTAGTGGCCACCGTAGCTTTCCCTGAGTTCCATGCGTGAGTAACTGTTGTACACACGCCGGCCCGAGCCAGTTGAGTCACCTTTCGGGATCGACCGGCATAAAACTTCGGCCTGATCGTCGAAGGAAGCTATGAAAAAAACGTGAGCATAAACCTGGTCTGCCGCTCTATTCAGTACCGCGTCAAGTTGCTTCGGATGAATGCCGTATCTGAGTGGCTAACCTGGTTCACGACCCCCGAGTTTATGAAATACCTATCTAAGTTGGCATCGCTGAAAGCCATGACCAACTTCTCATCAGCTGGGCCAGTGCTCAGAAGCCTATCGGTGGCGATGCGGAGTGCATCCAAGGTGGAATCACCCGCACTGCAGTATTGGGCGTGCGCACATATTTCCTGATATATACGTTGCCACTTACAGTGGGATGATAATTCTTACTTGGACGATTCTGTATTTTTCCTTTTCATCCCTCGGAGGGTTCCCAAAGTCAACTAGGCCTATCGCTGGACCATCACCACTGTGTCCCCGAATCTCGTAGACAAGCGATCCTCGAAACATGCAGGCTTCCATCAGTACACAGCGACCTCCGTCATGCGCTTCAGCCGACCGTCAACTCCATTGAACCGATACCTGATAGTGTGTACTCAGCGAGCCGGATCTTGGCTGGTCCGACGAGGTCCGCATGGGTCACGTCCATTCGAGGCATTCTATGGTAGAGTCCCGCGAGGATGCGGGCGAGTGGAGATATGATATTCGGCTACAGATCCAGCCCCAGGAGATGCCCAGCAAGTCTCACATGCTCGCACTGATGTCGAGAACTATCGACAAATGTTTGGGCAGGACTTGAGGCTCGCCGACTTTGGGTTCTTGTAAGGCTCTACGCCGGTACACTCGCTTATCGCCGGCAAGGGCATCCACCAACCTGCCATCAGAGCGTTCTGTGGGAGCCAGCAGTCCGTGACTACTTATTCTTCGTCCAGCTCTCCTTCAGTGCCCGCCAGCCATTTCCTCTCCCTCAACCTGCTGTCTGCGGTGTGCAGCACACGTCGAAGTTGGGCAATCTCATCGGCTACACCATCCACCTGAAAACATGTGCGTCGCGACAGTTACATGCCTTTCCTGTGAATGTCACGATCTCTCTATATCGTTGCCAATCAGCCTCGGACATTCTGATCTCCTCCAACCTCTTGCGTAGAGCTTCCTGTCCCATCTTTCGCGCAGCTTCGGCCGCTTCAGGGGATATTGACGCCTTCACTTCATCGCTAACCTACACCAACCATTCCCGCTTCCACTCGTGGAGAGAACACAATGAATACCTGATGGACGGGATGGCCCTTGTCAAGCCGGTACGGCCCTCCAACGCCCCCGAGACCTGCAGTATCCGCCCCTCCCGTACCGCCAGCGAAGGTATTGCCCCCGACATGAGGGGCGTCATCTGTGCCGCATGTCCGTCCCCATTGCTAGCCGTAACATCATGCTACTCACCTTCCTTACCGTGCTTCGGCTGCCCACTCGCAGTCCTGTGATCCTCTCTGGTGGGGAGGCTCCTCAGCTGGCGGTACTCTTTCTCAGCCACCGCTAGTTGCTCTCGCAGGATCTGAGCGACAAGGATTGGACGAGAGCTGAGCTCGATACACGCACCTCGATAACATCAATCCACCCATCAGTATAAAGTATCGCTAGCTGCCGCCCCTCCTTCATCTCTGTTATGCACTGCACAGCGCATTCCCGCAAAGGCAAATGACGGACCTTAAAGTAGGACTGTTCGGGTTCAGACTATTCTCCAGCTGTGGATGGCGCCTACCGATGCCGGCTGAACCGTATCGACGATCTCCAGCTCTCCGACTCTGCAGTTCAATATCGTACCACTGCGCCCCACGACAGAAGACAGGGTAAAACCAGCTCGCGAGGCCTCTCCGGGACACTCCCATATGCTGCCGTCGACTTCTACACGGTAGAAGAAGGCCCCGGTCGGATCAGCACTTTGATACACACTGTTTGCGAAGTCATAGACCACCGGTGCCACTGGAAAAGCTAGCCTTGATGCACCCCGAGCATCAATCTGCATGCCCCGACCATTCTGTGCGGTGACCACTATCGCAGAACCTCCAGAGGCAATGTTCGTGATGTGGGCTAGGGTCTCCGGGGATCTCAGCAGGAGTCTTAGGCGGGCGGAATCTTGGGATATGTCAACTTCGTACATTTCTCTCGTTCCGATGAGCTTGAGGGACCGACCATCTCCGGCGGCCACGGCGATGAAGGAGTCTGGTTTCGATACGAACAGGCGATGGACCACACCGCGGTTCCTGTTGTGCTCAGGCATTGCCACCAGAATCCCTGCTGCCGGGTTCCATACAAGAACTTTTTGATCCACCACCATCAACTGGGGCTTGTTTCTGGATCTCGGCCTCCGACCATTAACGACAACCTCTGCACTGGGCGCATCGGTGTGCATCCATCTCGCAGCACTGATCCCTAGAGATCGCTGTGTGCATTCCCATTTGTCGGTGTCAACGCTGTAGAGGCGCATTCCGTCGGCCACTGAGTCCGACAAAACGTGAATGTACCCCTGACTCTCAACGATGTCGACCATATCGTCTGCTCGAGTGTACCTAATCGCAGAACTCAATTACACGCTGTCCCTGCCCGTCAGCCGTATGTGGTTACTTTGACAGAGGTAACTTGAAAGATGCCGCTCTTTCCGTGAAGGTTCCAACAGATCGAGGAAGCTCGAGGGACTTGAGGGGACATTCAAGGGACGGCTCCATAACGAATGTCCGACTCTCCACTTTTGTCCACGGACCTACCCCGTACCATCATAGGTCGGTTCCATTATATAAATATGAAATTGAGGAGGAATTAAAATATACTCTACAGAGCCATCGATCTCACAAAGTGGAGTACCAGGTGGAGTTGTCGGCTGAAGGCTGCTCTTCTGTAGGGATCCTATCCTTTGTAGCTTGGGTAGTAAATGAGGTTCCTGAAAGAGTAATATCCCGATCTACCATAAAATCTGCGATTGATTTGCTAAGAGAAAGAACAACTCTTGTAGAACGGGGATTGGCGCCTGCAGTCCATTCCAGACAGTATCGAGAATATCCCGAATGTCTACGGCGATCTCATACGGGCAACAACTAACAAGCTTAACGCTTCACTACATTCCATGATCAGTCGAAAGATTCTCACGACTACATTAAACCCATAGACGAATTCGATCTCGTGCGGCCCTGCGAATGACTGTGAAACGAATCTCTAAGGAGTGAAGCATCACAATGACAAGAGTGTCGTTTACACGTCGTAGCAAACCATAGCGAGCAAAGATATACTTCAGTACGATATGTCACCTGTAACAGCACCGCCGCCGAATCACTAACTCCATCGAGTATAGCCTTAGAGGAGAAGCCGTGGCGCTCCAGGACTTTCCTGATGTTGGCTAGCGCCATTCTATCCCATCTGAGACGGTGAGGGATGAAACATGCCCCATCGTTCAATCGCAGACGACCAGAATTGGTTGCTCACGAGCCTTCCCCTCCGGGAAAAGTTTCGATATTCCCCTCCGCTTACCTTTCGAATGCTAGAACACCTTGCAGAGCTTCATCCGATCTCCCAAAACGGTTCATATGCCTGGAATAAGGACGACCAGTAGCCGACATATGGAAAACGTGTATACAGTGAAAACATCTATGAAGTCTGGATGCCCGCCGAATCGAGAGCCACTCAGCCTTCGCGGCATGCCGGTTGTTCGACGATTGACCTCATCAATTTATGCAGTATAGCAATTTGCTATTATCAAGGTCGCATGATGAGCGCAGCTGTGAAACTTGCTTACCGGGCGCTGGCTAATAACTCCCTCGTCGAGAATGGATACGATAATACACCGTCAGTTGTCAACCTTCGCAGTTCGCCGAAGACCGATACCAGACGGGATAGAACCCCAATAGGACCTGCGAAAGACAGATCTGCATTGTCTACAGAGTGAAGAGTAGACACATACTTCTGGTGCCACGGAGTGTACAAGCATGAGCTCTGAGTTGTGGTCTGGATCTCCATAAGAAACACAGAGAAAATGTCGCCGCACTCTCGGAAGAAGTCGTTACCGAGGAAGGGAAATCCGGGACGGTTGCTAAGCGGAGTTACAAGTAACTCAAGTCAGATGGGACTCACCATAACACTATGCATCTGAAGTTGGGATGGATAGGAGTGCCACCGCTCCCACCGAGACAGCGCCCATCGGGTAAGTTCAGGTAGCCGTCTTCGATCAGCGACTTGAGGAGAACAACAACCTCTAGGGGCGCTTTGTCTGCCTCGTCCAACACAATCCATCGACCTGACCGGACACATGAATTTTGAAGCAGCTACCTCCGAAAGACACAGATACAGGATACTGCAGGTGATGCAATCTTGCTCACCCTCAACGGCAGCCGTAACCAATGGGGACTCCTTCCAAACGATAGCGCCCTCGTGTAGTGCTGGAGTGCTGGTCAGGGAACCAACAGTGCTATCACGATGGAGCTGCATATAGTACCTATCGAGTCGATTTTCTTGCAGCGAATAACATCGGCACGTTTATTTGTCGAGGTTGGACATTTCAACTTGGCCTTTGCGAAGTATAAATATGCTGGACCGTGATACAATGGCCGATCTAACCAATCTTCATCGCCCGATTAGTTCAGCTGGATAGAATGTCTGCCTACGGAGCAGATGGTCGTAGGTTCGAATCCTGCATCGGGTAATTGTATCTCTATTGTTCCTTTGTGAGATCCGAAGTGTGCGACTGGAGACGTCATTTTCCAGTTCGATCTTATAGTGCACCTTTGTGAGATCCGAAGTGTGCGACTGGAGACGTCATTTTCCAGTTCGATCTTATAATGCATGGCATTTGTCAGAGTCACCACCATCGCTGGGAAGTTTCTGTGAATCCCACGAAAGACTCACCGCTCCACACGAAGCATTTCCATATAGTAGTCGATAACCATATTCTTCCCCACTCCCTGGGGTCCCACGATGAGTAGGCTTCGCTCTCCGTGGAGGAACCTGAGATGCCTCGAATCGAAGGTTCGCATGAATATCGAGCTATTCTAAGCAACCGACATGTCCCTGTGGATCTCAGCCATAAATCGCTTGTGCGCCGGGATAAGGACGAATCTCTCTCTGACTTGAGGTATCTGGTATCTTACCAGTGGTATGGGTTGCAGTACGTGATCACGACCCAGGGGGTGGTAGAACGCAAGCCTCACCAGCTCTGGACGATTATCATCAGGGCCGGGTCTGTACATCCATCCTCTGATACCATCGATCACTACAGCGTCATCTTGAAGGGAGATCTCGAGGGAATCTCAAGGACAACACATCCGACATCTTCTAACTCACTTCAATCCCATCAGCTTCCTGGAGTGAGCTAGAAGCGGCAGCGAAGTCCCGCGTGAAGCCTTTAGGAAGCGCCTCCCTCTCCAAAGGCGGCACTAGATTGAGCAGCAGTTGTCGCCAGGCTGTTGATGCAAGAGTTTCTTTCGAAGGAGATGAATCACAACTAAGTGAAAAGGTCTTCAATCGTATATGCATGGACCGAGGGCAATACTGACTGACATTTTGGCAATCCGAAGCATCCTCCTAAGGGTGAGTGGAGGGATGCCTTGGCATCCGTCCAGTGTCTGCTTCAGAGATAGCAGCTCAGGTACGAATGCTAAAAGAGGAACCAACTCACGGGCCTCGATGGTCTCGAAGAACGCATGGACCAGATCACACACATTTAAGGCCAACTCACCACTCCCGCTGTATTTGGCTGAAATGATCTCCGCAATAGATGCTTCGCCTAGGATGTGGAATGAGAATAGACTCATCACCTGCAGCGCTCAGTTATGCATATATCCTACGAGTCACTGTGCATACCTCAGGAGAGAGCCACGCATTCCCTTGAGTCGGGGGAGCTGCGAGAGCTACCACTCGAAAGTTGGGATGAACTTGGATCACTCGTGGACCCTGAAAGAACATCGCCTGTGAATTGAACAAATTCCCACAACTATGAAGGTCACTCGTCCGGCGGTCGCTGCAGATATGGCATGACGCTTTTAAGCGCATACCGATATCCTGAATGCGCTGAGAAGCGTCATGCCATGGATAAGGGGAACTTAACAACTTGCTTATTCGCATGTTCGATATATCCACTCATTAAACGTTATGTAAACCTTGAATACTTCGCGAAAGCATCAGAAAACAATGCAGGTGGCAGTGTGTATATTCAATAACACTATATTATGTTTTCGAGATATTGCAGCAGTTAACGCTATGTTCAATCGTAATGAAGTCCAGAGATCACGGATTATACCCTTGTGGTTGCAGGGCTCATGCTGCTGCGCCCAGTGGCCTCTGCTGCTCCGAAATGTCTCCTTTTGACAATAACCTAGCTACCGGCATGCGAGGTACTCGCCAGGTTTCCACTCGAGCAGGTCTCCACTATCAAGCAAAGTGGCTCAGAAATCATACTGGCCTGTCAGTATTGCAGTCAACCGGATTGAGTGATGTCGGCAGTGAAGATCGAGTGAGTTGCCAGTTCGTGCTCGAATCACTCGATGAGTATTTTAGGCTCCAAATTTCGGCGCAGTACTACGTCTGGCCTCGGGGTGCGCTCCGGGCCCCGTACTCACTACCTTAGAGAACATCTGCATTTACATAGCAGATACCTCCGATATGGAAGTTGTGATTCTAACCGTTTCCTTTCAGAGACTTTCTTCGCCTTCACATTAAACGGAGCTATGTCTACGAAGCCTGCGCGAGGGAGTAATCGGTCCGCTCAGGAATACTCGGGGCATGTAGACCGTACGGCCACGTCGTAAATGCGCTAGTTGCTCTATCAACATCGCCCGATTAGTTCAGCTGGATAGAATGTCTGCCTACGGAGCAGATGGTCGTAGGTTCGAATCCTGCATCGGGTATTTAAATCTATAGAAACTTCAGTAACCAACAACGAGTTCGCAACAACGTTCATCCTAGAGTCGACGGCTGAGTGGATCGAAATTGATAGGACGGAGGTTGGTGGAAACCAACTTACGCGTCAACGCACTGAATAGTCGATTCGAGGTCGCGGACTTCCGATCTATCATGACTCGTTCTATAATCTTCCAAGGACGAAACGCTATCGGAAGATCACGGATAGCGTAGACTCTACGCCGTAGAGTACTATAATATCTCATAGCCCTGCGACACTCACAGCGGTCTCAGATCCGGAAACGGAAGCGTTCCCTGCGCCGGTAAGGATGAGTCCTGATCCGCTCGGGTCTGGGCTCTGCAATGGACACTGTCGATCAGATATCAAGGGCGCCAAGGCACATAACACATCTGTCGGCACACGGTCTAGCCCATCCAGCACAAGCACCTGCGTCCAATGACTCCCTATACCGAGTTGGAAGCCTGGCGCCCTACTTTTCCCTCTACAGCTGCTCTGACTGCACTACTGGGCAGCCAAATTGTTGCTCCTGTGGCCACGTCAGTGACTCGCCGTTGTAGAAGATCTCGGGCCGACATGTCCCGGTACAGAAACATAGTTTCAATGTCTCGTGAGGGTTTCAAGCTTCGGATGAAGTGCCTAGTAAACCAATGCAAAATTGCATAGGATCTCACAAGAGGGATAAGAGCACGACACGATAACAAATGGAATGAGCTGCCCGATTTGAGGATAACGCTCTAGTTCCGCAGATCGCAAATACCCCACATTCTGGAGTTTGCGTGGAGAATTCCGCATGCAAGATGACAAGACTTGCCAAGCATATGTCCAGCCGTGCCAAGCTGCACGACTATTACAGCATAGTCTGAGTCTTTCCACAACCGGCAGGTCCCACCAAACAGATGTCAAGACCGGCCCGCCAGTCCTTTCCGATATCTTCAATGGTCTTCCTCACACTTGGGGTAGTGACAAATCCCGTCTCCTGACAGAAAAAAACTGCTGCTACGTCTATTCAGCGAGCCCATCGAAATGTTCTGCGTATGAATACCTGACTTATATGGCTACCAGCTTCTCCTAACTTGGGACTCTTCTGCGATATTCCAAGGCTCGCTAGTATCGAATTGACACCTCTACAAGCTTCTGCTGGGAACAGCTTCCAAGGGTATACCCTGAGGATAGAGGACGTAACTCGCAACCTCTGCACCATACGAGGAGTGACCGAAGATAGACCATCGCGTCGAATCACAACATCAACGCGAGTGCGCGTCTTTTAAACTTCACAGCGATTGCTTTCGCGAGTGACCGCGTCTGTGTGCCGGTAGACTCCCACCTCGCGATAGCCTCATACGTATCTCCCGTCACGGTAAAGGCCTTTTGCAGGCCGCTCATAGCGTCGCCTGGCAACAATGGTAGCTCCGGCGACTGCACGACTGCATCCACAAAATCTCTCAAGGATGGCGTTGCCTGTGCTAAAAATGGATCGTATCAAACCCTCATATCTTACCTGGGGTTCCGCTGAGAGCCCGGCAATAACTCGGCCTTGGAAGCGGCTCCTAGTACAAAAAAGATACTCCATCACTCTACAACACAATAATGACCTCAAAGGCGGATCAAGCGTATGGCCAACACAGGGCGGGACAGGGAGGCCGAGGGCTACGACGATAAACCGAGGTGAGACTCTCAGAAGGTTACGCGCGGTAACCTGAGGCAGAAGGGAAAGGGTAGGAGGTCACCGGATGAGCATTTGCACCATACCTCCGCCTGGCCCAAGTCCTCCGTCAACTTATCATACTTGATGTGGCTGAGCAGACATCTGCCATCGTCCAGCACCTATTCAACTGCCGTGATGACATGTGAAACAGCCATAGGCAGAAAACAATCATTACACAACTGGGAGGTCCTCACCATCTCACGATTCTCGAGGAGGTTGTTGATTGTTGGCAACACATTGCGTTCCGCCTTCTCAATCCCATCAAGGATAAGTACTCGTCCCATTATGGCCGCCCGAACGACTGCCGAGTCGACATAGATAGTCTGAACAACATAAAAACAGTCAACCAAACTTAGAGAAGACGGAATCTACTAATCTACGGTCAATCGAACAACGCCTTGAGCCACAACACAGTGTGGTATTCACCTCCCCATTTTTCCCAATCTCCCGTCGTTGGCGGAGATCTGCCTCAACTGTGTCCCGAGTTATAGTCAGAAGCTCTGGTTGTAGTCCTTCAACCCGGCAGAATTGGTATGCCTAACAAACGCACTAGACCCTCAGCCCAATAAACATCGACCATTCAGCTCACCAATCGTCGGCGAATCGAGCCAGGGTCTCCTATCAAAAACATATCCTGCCTCAAAATATACTTCTGCCTCATCCATTTGAGATGAGAGGCGAAAGCCATATTGGGTGCCATATCGATGACCTAATCAGCGATGGCCTATAACCACACCGTGCGAGTACAGTTCAGTGCAAGCATCATAGGAAATGAACGAGTGCGTATAGTTACCTTGGGCACCACTATTCTCTGGGATACTGGTCTCCCAACATGACTGGACACCGAGTTAAGCCGGCCAGCCATGTCAACGACAACTGTGTTGAGTTAACACTCTGTTCCATCAGCGTATCACATATCAAATCTAACTCCAAAGCCTCCTACATTGACAGGTATAAACTCCACAAAGCTATGATGATCCCCGCAGGAAACACACAATAACAGTCAGGCGCTGGCGGTGGCGTTCGCCACACACACGGCCTGATTCTGATTGACGAGAAATGATCACAAGAAATGTAACAGATTATGGAGAAATTTCTACCACTATGGGAAACAAGCTGAACCATCAAGAGTAGCAAAGACACTAGACAGCTTAAGTGATGCCCTTAGAACACCAATTCCGAATCCTTCTTCACGTCATCAAAAGCAGTGCCGACCTGGCTTTCATTGCCTACAGCCTTAGCAAGGACACCGGCTTCTGAGATACCACAAACGAGTGTAACACCAAGCGAAAAAAATATACCACAGTAGAAGTTCAGAATTCACTGTGCTGTACGTGAAATTTCGAAGCAATGCTGCACCCCAACAAAGTGACACAACCAAAGACGTACCTCCTCCCTCTGCAGCACGCTCAGCTGTCTCCTTCGCTAGCTTCTCCTTCTTCTTCTCGACAATCTTCTTCACTCTGCAACAACAACGAATGCATTATTGCCGACGTTCATCCTGCCAACCTGAAGAACTCCTCACGCTCCTGCTCATCCATAGCCTGTTCGATGAAGTGGACGATGCCCTCGATGCGGGGAACCACCACATACTCGAGAGCATTCACACGACGCCTACGAGGAAAACAAAATCAACAGCAGACAAACAACACCAACAGCCTTAACCTACGAGGTCATCTTGATCTCCTCATCCAGAGTGATGAAAGATGTCTGTAGAGAGGCCATCTTGACGAGCTGAAGAGAAGGCGATCCCGTTCCTTCATACGCACAGTGAGACACTTACAAGCTCAAGAACCTTAGCATGCTGGAGCCTGCAGGTTTGAATGACTTGACCTCCCTGGCCGGCACCAAGACTCATCATGGGACCCTATAAGACAGTTATAGCAATGACAAGATCAGCAGCAAGTAACAGCTCACATCCAAGGCTGTGTCCCTTTGAAGGTCAAACTTGGGGAGGAAGACACCGGCAACATTCTCAGCTGAAACTTTTAGAGTCACACTGAAGCAAACAGAATACCAAAACTACGGTCAACTGCATCAATAAGCTCACCTAGGCTTCTTGACTCGCTGAATGACGGTCTGGACGAAATCACTGTCACCGGCCCATCTAGCTTTGGCAATGGAGAAGGAGCAATCGGCCATGCTCTCACCAACGGCCTTCTTAGTCTGGATAGGAGCAGATATAGGAAGACTGACGAGATCCTGATATGGTCTACATCCACAATTTCCTTGAGCATCTGAGAGAATCTGCTCTTTAGGGCATCACGCTTCTTTTTGAGAAGACTGTGTCCCTTTCTGGCGCCGACGCCCTTGGCCTTGAAGGTCTGTAGGGTCATACGGTTCGCTGGGGGCATCTGCTGAGACATCTTGAGAGCTGTTTAAACCGGAAAAAATTCTGTTCCCGGAAAGCAGGTCAAATCCGTGTGTATAAGCCTTCCGTCTGAACTGTACTGTAACTGACCTCGTTGAAGACTCCGACAACGCATCAGCTACCGACGGGTTACCAAAATATTTACGTTGATGTGCGCTTGCCGATGACCAGGATGCTCATCCCAAGTGAATTTCACAATCAAAACGCCATGAAGATTCGGCCAAGCTTTTTACAGCGCACCTCAGTGTTGTAATATGTTCGCTTCCCTCAGCTGACCCTAGGAGTTTCCTCACTGATTATAGCGGTTTATACACGAAGTAGGGTAGAATTGTACATGAATCAACCAGAAATTCCAGAAATTTCATCAGAATTTTAATATTGTCACCGATATATGTGGGTGACCATGTGTATGTTTTCCCACACTGGCGCAGCTACACGTCCAGTGGGGTCACCACGATAAGAAAAGCCATGTAGAGGAGTGACTGAGCAGAGATTAGTGGCCATTGCTAGAGCTGGTATTAGAGCCACTCGAAGCACGAACAGCATGACAAAAAAGGACATCATCAAGCCTTCTGACAGTGGCACAGAAAGTTCAGTAAGGGCCATCAAGGAGAAGCAAGATCGCAAGAGTTCAGCTCTGTCGTAGCCAGAGGCTATCGATGCACCCGGGTTCGAACCCTGGCGTCAACCGCTACGATCTAAAATCGTCGCTCTGGGAGCCTCACCATAGCGAAAGCCATATGAAACAATTGGTAACATGTGTGTGCTGTTCAGCTGTTAATGCTCAATAAGCCCCTATCGGGTACCATCCGTACCATGAGTAGTAGTAGTGGCATGAAGCTCCCTCTCGCGCCCTCCGTCTCGGCTTTCACTGGAGGCCTCACCCTTGAGGCTGTTGTTCCGACCTCTCCTAGTAAGGTCAGTGGATCGTCACCTCAGAAAGGCGGAGGTAGCATCTCGTGGAAGCCGTGCGTATCGTCAATAGAGACCTCATTCAGCCTCCCCGCGGCAAGGCGGCAAGGGCAGCTCTAGCGGTCCGTCCGTGCTCCCTGTAGCTGGGTATGACCCCATCCACACTGTCATGGCTACTAAGCCTGTGGCCTCGAAGTAAGCGGAGGAATTTACTTGGTAAGGATATATACGATATTGATGTAGGCTCTCCTTGGATGAGCGCGTGGCTCAATGTATGGCGGTGGCTAACTACGGTGGAGAGATTATTCAAGAGGAAGAAGTGAGGAAGCTTTTCGGTAGGAAGCACCGATTTCCACGCTTCAACCTGGCTAATTGTGTCTGTCGCTGGTCAGAGGCCAAGGCTAACCCTATATGTTACGACGGATTTGAGCCGAGTGGCCGCATGCATATTGCCCAGGGTATTCTCAAGGCTATTAATGTCAACAGGTGAAACGCATGAGAATGCTTCCAGTTTGGTAAAGAGTGCCTCGACAGGTTGACTTCGGCCGGCTGTGTATTCGTTTTCTGGGTTGCTGATTGGTTCGGTCTCCTCAACAACAAGATGGGCGGCGATCTCGAGAAGATCAAAAAGGTAATAGTCAGGCACAATCTCCTGATTGGCTGCACGGCTTGCTGTTCTCAGGTTGGCCAGTACTTCGTAGAAGTGTGGAAGGCCGCTGGAATGGACATGGATAATGTTCGCTTCCTTCGAGCCAGCGAGGAGATCAACAAGGTTAGTATGCTCGCCGTACATTCACACCTCACATGCAACCATCTCATCGGGAATCGAGGAAAACGTTCACCGCAAGGGCGTTGTGCTCCTACCTCCATTGCTCCTGTCAGAATCCGCAAGACTACTGGTTACGCGTGATGAACATCGCGAGAGCAAACAGCATTTCGAGGGTGAAGCGTTGTGGTCAGATTATGGGAAGGTCTGAGGGAGACGAACAACCCAGTGCGCAGATTCTGTAAGGCAGAACAGTAAGGTTGGACCTGCAGCGTCTACGGTTGGTCTTGCCAGGTATCCTTGCATGCAGTGCAGTGACATCTTCTACCTCCATGCGGACATCTGCCAGCTCGGCATGGATCAACGCAAGGTCAACATGCTCGCAAGAGAGTACATGGACAAGCCCGAGGCCAGCAAGGACAAGCAGAGGATGTAGAATAATTGTTGGTGGGGACTTATGAATTTGCGCGTGGAATTCAGGCAAGGACGAAAGCCCATCATCGTTTCTCACGCTATGGTACCTGGCCTTCTGGAAGGACAAGAGAAGATGTCCAAGGTAGTCTTGGGGTAAGCTACACTCTGCATGGATTTCTGATTTCAGTCTAATCCCGATTCTGCTATCTTCATGGAGGACTCTGAGGCTGATGTGAAACGGAAGATCAAGAAAGCCTTCTGCCCTCCCAATGTGGTTGAAGGCAACCCATGTGTCACTTACGTCAAGGTAGGTGTGAGGGACCGTATCGACTCTCGTATTGAAGCAGTCGGGATCTATACAGCATTCCTATTATTTTTCCTCTCTAACATTCGATCTGATGCACACGTCCATATTTCGCTCTCGTGCCAGATGCTTGTGTTCCCCTACTTGGGCAAATTTGAAGTTCAAAGGAAGGAGGCTAACGGTGGTGATGTGTGAGTGTTCGATAAGAGTTGCTGTGGTGTTCATTCCTTCCTCAGGACGTTCAGGACGGTTGAGGAGTTCGAGCACGCCTACGCCCATGGCGAGTTGCACCCTGGTGATCTCAAGGCTGCTCTTACTCGGTACTGGCAGTTAAATCGAAGTATCAGGAATTGCACTTTGCTGTCGTTTTAGGTGTTTGAACCAGATGATCGAGCCTGTTCGTCACCACTTCGAAACGAATCCTGAGGTAGGCGGCGGAGCGGCGCGGATGAGGAGGAGTTTTGTGTATTCGTAGGCCAAGGCATTGCTGGCTGAGATCAAATCCTACAAGGTCACCAAGTGAAGCAATCACTAAATCCTTACTGCCACTGCTTATCCTATAGCAGGAGTTTCTCGGACCCTTACGATACCCTTCTTGTGTAATTCAATCCTGGCAAGTGGAGTGGAGGTAGTGTTCGAGTAGAAGGCGTTAGCTTTGCGCTGATATGATCCTCAGCGTGTAGCTTCAAACATCGCATGCTGGAGAGTGGAGAAGCGCCGATAGGTTATGTGCGTGGAGGGTGGGTGTTAGTTATTAGGCAGCTTTTGATGTCTTCAATGTCTTATGGTCCGACGATATGATGGTCATGATATCGATAGAATGCGAGCAACGTCACCGACCAGAAGGACTGCGCAGAATAGGGTCTCGATCAATCCCATAACGGGGGAGGTAGGTTGGACGGCATGGGCAGGTGTTCGACCGTAATGAGCGGTCTGGGAATCGCCGAGCGCTCAGCATGAATAGTTGAAGGGACATAGTCTATGGAAAACGATCACTAAAGAGCTTGTATTCAATCCTATTGATACAACGCCTCTGACTGTGCCAGCAACGGGGTTCCAAATGGCCCTCTATTGAACTAGGTTTCGTGACGAAGGTGTGCAGCTCGTTTACTTCGCGTAGTCCGTAAAGTGGTCATGATGTTTTTCGAGAAAATTGCGGAGCGAGCGAAGCGAGCGGAGCATAGAGTCTATGCCAAAGACTGCAACAAGCGTCACTTCACGTTGTGCGTGCGTGATGAATTATCTTGCGATAACTACGAGGATTCAGAATTATCGAACTATCAATCGATTTGTCCGTATTCGCATAAAACTATGCAGAAGAACACGACTAAAGACAAAAGTTGTCGGGAAGATGCGAGCTCTGAGTAATAATGGGACGCCAAGGGCGCGCGCGTTCTCAGCGATGGACGAGCGAGCTCCGCCCTTTCGCCCGCAAGCCTCAGTAAGATGCTCAGAAGTGACTTACGAATGCGCTACCTATTGGCGGGCGAAGGTTTTATGCCTCCTCATGGTCTGTCGGTAGCTCAAGATCCGGAAACGCTCACCAATCGGCGCGTTCCCGTTTCTCTTATCGGCGTCTCGGCATACAGAGGACTGTATGCATACATTGCACGCACGCACACACGCACAACCCGGAAGTGGATGTTTCGGTGTATGCTCCGTTCGCTTCGCTCGCCCCGCAACTATATAAAAACCCCGAATGAGCTAGTCAATATTGCATGGTTTCTTCTGGGGAGAACACATCCCGAAGGCTCGTCTTGAGCCCTGAGAATTCAATTGGCCAGGCTTATTCGTGTGCCGTGAAGGGCCAAATCTGGTCTCGAGTTTAGCGAATACTAACCCCTCACTATGCAGGTTAATCGATTCCACTCTACCGATAACCACCCCGATGACAGTCCATCCCGAGAGGTTAGGTTCATGGATCTTCAGTGCGGCTTCCCGCTGACTGCAGGGCCGCAAGACTACAGACCGATTGGTGGGGGGTATGCTGCTCCTATCACTCGCCTGATGCGAAGATTGAACTCGCCTGATGGAGCACTTGGTTCTTTCATGAAGTCGACTAACGGCGTGGCTCGGGGTCCGATGATGAGATACTTGCAACGCTTACTGTTGGATGGGGTGGAGGCTGCCGGACCCGTACCGCTCGACTGGCCGAAGCGAGCGCAAAAGCGAGAACCTACGCAGCGCGAACGGTGTGATTCTCCTCGACGTGCCCTACATGAGCATGATTCATCGAGAGAGTGGTATGAGAAGAAAAGCGAGGAGAAAATTTCTCATGATATATCACCTAGCAGAAGATATGCCGCCGAGTTGGAAGCGCAAATAGCGGAGAAGAAGGCGAGGGAGAGGCGAGAAAAGGAGGAAGAAGTGATGCGCGACCGAGTTCTTGAAGAGAAAGTCCTGCGAAGCCGGTAGTGAGCTCTCTGTGTTACCTGTAACCAAGCGTTCGCCTGGTATTCTAGTGCGGAGCAAGATTCATCGGGGATGTCG